GTAATTAATTTGTGTTGCATTTAATAATCTGTATGAATTAAAAACACATATTAATTACTTTCCTTTTTTCAGTGCACTGGTAGTTGTATCAGTGCACTGGTAGTTGTGTACAGGTGTAATGGTAGATGTATCACTGCAATGGTAGTTCCAAAAAAGGAACGTAATTAATATGAGTTCAGTATACAGGTGCAATGGTAGTTGTATCAGTACAATGGTAGTTAAAAAAAAGAATGTAATTAAGATGAGTTTTTAATTTCCAAAGATGATTAAATGCAACATGAATTTAATACAAAAAATAACTATAATTAATAGGGGTGTCATTTTTCCAACCCCTTACAAGGGTTAGCATGCTAACCGATCCCCGAGACATGCCTACACTAGGGAAGCAAGAGGAATCATGTCATTAATGGTAGATCTTTTTTTAAAAAAGTCATTAATGGTAGATCACTAGCTATACAAATTTTTATTTAATTAGTATCATAGTACTTGATGCCTATGTCAAGTTTGCAAAATTTTTGTGTTTGAATGCCATGAATGAACTTTTGATTTCTTCAAAAAATTATTTACATTTTTTTATTACCCAAGAACCTCAGGCCCACGTGTCACTTTGTGACAGCGAGACCTACTAAATCTGGGGCCACCTATAATCAATTCGATGCCAACGGGGCTTCATCCCCAGCAGCCTTATACCTCCGGGAACACAACGAGCTTCGCTTAAATTCAAACCTGAAATCTGCAACTCGCAAACCTTTACTGTCGCGACAGCTTTACCGTTTGGCTATCTTACATTTGATTATTCACATCTTTTTTAAATAGTGTTTGAACAATGATTTTTTCTCAATAACATCTAAGTTACTTTTTCTTCTATGCAAATTCCTTCAAACCTCATCCAACTATAACTATTGTTACCTCTACGAAGGCTCTTCAAGAACTCTACCAGACATGACTAAGACGATGTTGTAGAGAAAAGGAAAAACATAAAATAGGGTGTTAGTTGTGGATTTGGCATCATTTTTCTCTACTGGGACCTCCTATTTATAGCTATGATTTCAAGTGACAATTGTTATAAACACTACAAAAAAGAGGAGATTTGGGGACGACAAAAGTTGTCCCCGGAAATAGCAAAAATCGTCCCTATAGTTTTTGGGGACGACCAAGTCGTCCCCAATGTGTGGTTCCCTATACTCTTGTCCTCTATTCTTTTGGGGACGACAAAAATCTAGGCCGTCCCCATTACTAGGGACGACAGTCGTCCCCCATAATAACAGGTCGTTGTCTGGTTTCTTTTCTATCAAAGACAACATATCGTCTCTATAGCTAAGACTTTAGGGACAATAAGTCGTCCCCTATACATCAATCGCAGGGACAGACTGTAGTCCCTAGAATCGATTACATGTTTATATTGGGCCTATCTGGGGATAATCTATCGTCCCCTTTTCTTTTTATAGGGTAGACATGTAGTTCCTATAGGTATCAAAGTGGAGTCCAAAAATCGTCCCTGAAAAGTTTATTCAAGGCCTACGAGTTGTCTCTTATACTATATCTTTAGAGACGACAAATTGTCATGTATGACTTTTAGGGACAAACAATTGTCGTTTAACTTATGTATTGGGGACGAGGAGTTGTCACTTATACACCTTCCGAGAAAGACTAAATATCCCTGATGTAACTCGTATGAATGACATATATCACTCGAGCAAAATATGATAAATATAATCCGAAAATTCAATTAATAAGAACTCCTTATTGTGAGCCATTAACCACAAAAGGATAAGTAGGAATACATTGTTTCTAAATAAAAAAGACGACATAATTTCTACATCACAAGTAATGTTAATTATCACAATCAGGCTCAACTGTAATAAAAAATGCAAGTATAAATATTGTCTGCCAAATACTTAATATGATTCCTTCAACAATGAAAGGGGCTCCTCCAGCAATCTTTTTAGCCACAAAATTTGTACATATGAGGAACCATATATCCTGTCATATCCCTGCATATATAACAAATTTGCACGTTGTAACACCAATACAAAACGTAAAACATGTACTTTGTTCTCTTTAGTCATTCCTTGGTTATGAGTTCACAGCAAGCCATTAGCTAATTAGCTAAATGGAAATAGTAGAAAATTCTAGAGATGCAGAGGAATTGGAAATCATCTTTACCTGTCGTAGTTGTATAACATATTGATTTTCTATATACCATGGTTCATTGTTGTCTTAGGCAACCCTGCAACTCTAGCATTCACACTAAACATTAAAATGACATAGCAATGGAAAATGACAAAGCATGGAAAAGATAGTAATATCATGATAAAGGACTTTAAGAAGCAAAAGAAGACAAGATGTTATTGTATAAGTGGAGAAGTTAAAAATTAAGGTGAAGTCAAAGTACCTGCATGTCATCATGTGTGCTGACGAAATAAACTAGGGGAGTTAAATTTCATGGAGCCTGCAAAGTATGCCACACAATAAACTAAAATCAGTTTGCTCATCTCATGTGATGTGGAACTACATGTATATTAATTCAACTATAAGTCTATCTAAGCATAGTATCTTTTGTTGTGTCATCCAGGAGATGCACCTAAAATCAAACCATAACAAAGCAGCAGATGCACCTAAAATCCATATGTAGATGGTAACCTAGAGAGCATAACCGGGTTGGCAAAACAATGCTCCGATTCTTGTCATCATACGATGGGAAGTTGGGAACAAACAATAATCAACCAAGATTTGGATCGTAAGGAAAACATCACAGGGAGAAGATAAAACTTAGTACATGAAAAAGCCATCAAGGGACTTTTAAGCTGCGAGGCCACATATGGATGGAACTCATCTCCTCATTGCACAATCAAAATATAGAGAGACGCCACCAAGAGACAATAATTGTCCCTTTGCCCTCATCAGGCGCAACTCATAGCCTTCTAAAAAGACCTACGAGTCCAAACTACCCGCTCATTAGCACAAGCGAAACAGATCTAACCCTAACCACACTCAAACAATCTTCAATTTCATAAAACGAGAGAAATCATAATAAACAAAAGGTTTCAACTCGTAAATCAAATTCGCAGACAAGGAAACCCGCAAACAATCTCAAACCCTACTAACCAAACAATTTTAGGCCACCGACGGATTTTGTTTTCCTTTCCCGGGACGATGAACACAGCGCGGCGGAGGGCCTGTATATATCTCTTCTTTTTTCGATCGCCTCTCTGTATTTATATATTATAATAATAATAAATCCCTAAACCCTATATTTGATAAACTTTGCTGATAAACTTACTAAATCTTTTGGCCAATTGGCGGAGTCATTGATGCCTTAAAGGAATATTAGGCTTTAGGGTCAATTAATTCAAGCGTTGAAAGCCCGCCAAGGTTTAATTTTTCATTTTCAAGTAAACCGCGGAAACTTAGTCAGTTTTTTTGGGGACAACTTAAAAGAGCCCAACCCAATTAATTAGTTAACACTTGTTTTATAGAGACAGTTTTTCATATGTGTCCCCTAAATTACTTATTATTGTGTTTGCGGAGACAAATTAATATAGTTGTCCCCTAAGTTCGTCCCTAATGCTCCTCTATTTTGTAGTGAAAGCAGAAGATATTTTCGCCATTAGTAGATGTAAGAATTGATACAAAAAATAACTTTTTATTTAATAGATAATCATATAAAGCAGAAGATATTTTCGCCATTAGAAACATATGTAAAAAAAAGGGCAATGTCTATTTTTATCCAAGTCTTTTTCGGATTCTTTTTTATTAGCCAAACCTATCAAAATACTAAGAATTAACCAAATGTTAACTTTCAGTTAGCAATTTTGTTAGTAATATTGACTTGGCAACATGATACTGATTTGGAAGAGACACATGAATATCAACATTTCAAAATTTTAGTATTTTAACTAAGAAAAGAGTTACTAAATTATTAACGATAACGTAAAAATGGCTAATATTTTGATTCATTACGAAAGATTTGGATAATTAATAGCATTTTAATAGGTTTGGATAAAATAAAAGAATCTGAAAAAGATTTGGATAAAAAATAGACATTACCCTAAAAAAAATTATTTAGCTTTTTCATGCCTACTTTAACGAGCTATTTTGGTTTTTTACGAAGCGAACATGTTAGAATTTTGACTCTGTTTTTATCCCACAGTTCGTAAGTCCTGATCCTCATGTCGATGGAGAGGCAAAAATGGATAGATCAGCCTTGATCGTATGGGAAAAGCTCTTCTTTCGATGACGAGGAGTGGGAACAACAACCTCTGCCACCTCCGAACTTTCAGAGCGCTGGCCACCGGTGAAGGCAAAGCCATCTTCCGCTAACCTAGACACTGTGTATTCTTTGAAAGATTATAATTTGGAGGATTTGAAGATGATTTGATGCCAAGAAGCCTCCAAACTCGTCACTACCCCTACGGCCCTACATGTGGATTGGATCGAGTTATTCGTACAATACTTGGAAGATACTGCTTTCATTAATCAATTTTAGTCTTCATGTATAACTTATAACGCATTAAATACAGTACTTATCAACACATGCATGCATGACAATTTGCTAGTAATTAACTAACACAGTAACACTCCAGGCCATAGCATAGAAAGAATTTTCTTACGTCCACTTGACCGTGGAAAAAAGCTTGCCTTAATTACACTTACAAGTTATACTATACCACGTAATTAATTAAAGATACACAGTACTTACATATATAAATAAATATAGTATTAGTACGTGTGACATGGCCACTTGCTTTACAAAGTCCTTTTTTACGTCCACTTGGCACCCTTTGCATGTGCATGCAGACAGCTAATTAAGACAAATCTCGATCATCACTAACGTTGGACTTCTCCATACAACTTTAATTTCCCCCGCGCATTTCTCTCTTCTCCATCTATATAAACCCCCTCAGTTCCTCCTCCTCAATTCACCCACCAACCAAGAGCTCTCTAATTCTCATAACCCTAGCTTCAACCCATTCTCTTCACTTACCGACAGAATTGAAATGGCATCTTCCAAATCATCCATCGCAACTCTCTTCCTCGCCTTCAACCTTCTCCTCTTTGTCTCCTCGCCGGCCGCCGCCGTCCTCGACACATGCTCCTACGATGTGGCCAACCTCAACGTCTGCGTTGATTTGCTCAACTTTTTGTACGTTGGGGTTGGGACGAAGCCGCCAACCCAACCCTGCTGCACCGTGGTTTGTGGGGTAGCTACTGATGTTGAAGCCGCCGTTTGCGTCTGTGCTGCCCTTAAAGCTGGCGTCCTTGGAATTTATGCCAACCTTAACCTCGCCCTCGAGTTGCTTCTTACTCAATGTGGCAAGCACGTTCCCCTCGGCTATGTCTGCGCTTAATGAGAGATCATATAACAATGTGATCGAACCTAATAATGCTCTGAAGTCAAACAGTTGGGCCTCGTAGCTACCGGATGATATTCTAGTAGAGTGCTTTGGGCTATTAATAATGTTGTGTTGTTGTTGTTGTTTGTTGTTCTCATTTTAGTTTTTCTGCTTCGTGCATGGCATTGCAAAGTTGTGAAACGTTGTTTGTTTCATAAGTTTGCAAGTCTTAGAAGCAATAACGTTTGTATTTCGTACTATGAATAAATGACTTCATCATTCTGCATTTCTGCTTTCATTAACAGAGATAGTTTTTTATGAAGAGCACCCGAAGGAAAAGAGATGAGGTTTTTTTTTTATATTTCGTGCTCTTCCCTTTTTTTTCTTTGAGAGAGCCGAGCAGAAACATGGGAGCTGGTAGGGGTGTTCAAATGGTTACCATGGTTATTATCAAATCAAACAAGGTTAAATTTCATTAATCATGGAATACAATATCATAATCAAACCGTCCAAACTAATACAACAACCAAATTAACCAAATTAAAATTTAATCGGTTTGGTTAATTGGTTAACCAGATTAAACAATATAAAATCACATTATCATTAAGTGAGAAAATTTCGGTTAATTTATCAATTCACAATTTATATAATGAATAAAACATAACTATCAACACATAGTTATAGTTGACCCTTAACATAAATACATGCAACTAAGACAATTATATTACGGTTAGCAATTTTCATAGGCTGAAAAGGACCTTACTTTCAAGTTTTCATCCAACAGAATGTATGAGATTTATCTAAATTAGGCGTTCATATGTTGTGGTCTACACTCTACATATACAAATATACATTATAGGAGCAATATCAAGCTTTATATTTTATGAGTCTAAAAGGGATGAACGTTTAACTCTTGAGTGGTTATTCAAAGTATTAAGTATGTGTATATATTAGGTATATGGCTAATTATTTGTAACACCTTAGGCAAATCCCACATCGACAAAGCACGGGAGAGATCCATGGTTCATAAGTAGGAAACCAGCCTTAACTGACAAGACGCGTTTTGGGGTGTAATGGAGGAGTTCTTGTGAGAACTCCGAAGTTAAACGTGCTCAGTGTGAAGCACAACAAGGATGAGTGACCTTATGGGAAGTCACCTTGAATTGCACCCAAGTCGAAAACCGTGAGGGTCGAGACCCAAAGCGGACAATATCTTCGTCGGGAAAAGATTCGGGATGTTACATTATTTATCTGGTTAATTTGGTTTGGCTAGTTAGGAGTGTCTGAAACCAAACCAAACCACCTAAACCAAACAAGCTAAAAACTTTAACCAAACCAAACCAATTATCCAAATTAACCAAACCAAATTATCCAAATAGTACTGGTTAAAACGGTTACAATGGTAACCACACCGTTTGAACACCCCTAGGAGCTGGAATCGAGGATCCATGAAGAATTTCTTACAGAGGGAATCAACGGAGATTGTGGTGGATAAAGAAAGTTTTTGGACTAACAATGTCGCAAACCAAATTGGATTCGGCTAACCGAATACAGAATGCATGGATTTGATGATAGTAAATAGCGGCAGATTCGAGATAGGATAGAGTACTAAGTCACATTTGAAAAAAAGGCAAAAAGGACTGAGTCGTAACCCAATGAGCACTAAAACAAATACCTAAAGTCAAATATTTACAATACTATACTAGCTCTGAATCCAAAGGAGGGCTGGACCGTGGCTCTGGGGTGACCCCTGGATCCACCGCTGATGGTAAATCATTGCTACAAAAATGGGGATCAAATTATTGAACCCACGACACCCTCCTGCTATTGATGTCAGACTCTGCGTCAATTCTTCATATTTTTAAACATTTCAACTTGGATTTGCCTGATATTTGTTCAACTGTGTGTTTGATAGCATCTAACGGTGTTTTATACATTTGATATCTTTTTAGTAGTTTCGGATAATTTGAGAACAATAATTCAAAGAGGATCATCATGACATGAAAAGGGTCAAGAATACTTACGAGTGTCTGGATTCAAATGGGATCGAATTCATAGATTGGATGAGTGAGATATATGGCCCAAACAAGTCAATTAGCAAAATGTGCCCAGTATGCTAGCTAGCAACCCAAAATGGCGGCCCGGTTGACCTTAGTAGGGTTAATTATCCACCAGAATGCGACATGGAGAAGCTCCCAAGCCTCATAATGAAGAAGGAAGTCAAGAATCGAGAAGAAAATCATCGTGGTGACATCTCTTCTTGTATTGGGTTTTCCTTTCTATTCATGCATCGCTAAACGTTTAGGTTGTTCAGATTATGTAGAACATTAATGATGATGGTTTGATATAATTGTGGGTTGTTTGTTTGAATCCTTTGAGTGTTTTCATGTCAATAAGATTGTCTATTCTATCGAAGTTATCTTCTCACTTGTTGGTAGTTTTGAATATGTTTTGTGTTGGATGAGGCTGAACAAGACCATTTCTCATTATCGATCACCAACCGGTTTAAGTACCCCGACTACTCAAAAGATAAATCTGCAGGACCCTTTAAAGCCTATTAGATCTATCTAATAATAGTTTGATATTATAGATGAAATCACTATCATGAGCATCAAGCAACTCGCATGACATGGAAATCTATCTTTTGGATAATTTTTATAAAATTTTTCATGACATATCACTACAAGGGAATGGACATATAGCAACGCTTGAGTAGCAGGGGTTCCTATAACCCTTGCCGCAATCATAAAATATCCATAAAGCAGGAGTTTAATCCAGCGGTTAATAAAACCACTGAGGATTTTTAAATTTTAATTAAAGCAAAAGTAGAATTCCATAAATGCCAAACGACTGCTCGTCCCTTAACCTTAAAAGAAAAGAAAGGAAAAAACACAAAAAAAAAAAAATTGGACAGTACTCTTCTATCCTCTTCCACTCTGTTCACCTGTAAAACAAATCCCTAACCCTAACTATCATGTCTCAACTCTCAACTCTTCCCCGCCTACTTCGATCTCTCCATCGACTTTGGCGATCCCTCCGCCGCCTCTAGAATGGTCAGAAGTGCCGCACCTTCGATTACAGAGCAATTTCCATCGTCTCTTCCCTCCAAGGTATGTTTCCTCTAACCATTTATTCAACTCATTTTCTCACGAAGTTTGTCTCAATCCATGCGACGAGCGCTGCAGTTCTAAATGGTCGTACTCCAACTATCTTATCGATAGCCCAACGCTCGCCTCCCTCGCTTTCTCTCGCTGTCTGTAGTATGAGCGAGCTTAACTACTCGGGGGAGGTTCACTCGCACCTAGATCGGTATTTTCCGAACCTCTTACCCTCAGGTATAATCTTCTTACTTTCTCTGGATAATAATGGATGAAACTAAGCAATATTGCTTACCCAATTTCTCTTTCAAATCTATTACATATTGTTGCTCGGAGATGGAGTTCGATTGAGCATGCAATGGTTGGGGGAAGGCAGCGAGTAGAGGTAAAAGGGCACTAGTGATCAATTTATGTGATTGATTGATTCCTTTCCTAATTGAATATTGGTTTCTTGTTCAATGTCGACATTATCGCCCGTGAGTTCTTGCATCATATGCTTGCTTATGACTTTCTTTAGCAATGGGCTATGCAGACATGTACTTGATGACTTCAATTTTTCTGTTTATTGATGCAGAAAGATCAGAAGTGGGCGCTCATTTGCAATTAAGGGAAAAGGTTAAAATGTGGTTTCGAAAGTAGGGTCACTGGTGTGTTTTGTTTCTGCTTTCCACGGTGTACAAACCCTTGAGCACAGTGGAGAATCAAGTAATTTTAGATTGCAAAACTAGCACTCTCAGGGTGAAAAATGGTTGTTTCTCTCGAATGTTTGATTTTACTAACCTCTATGTGTATCTTAACTTTGCATTTCAGGCTCTGAATATGGGTGTTGTGCATATATGGCTTTAGGTGGTATGCCTGGCTTATAATCTATGAACTGTACGGGCTGTAAAGCATTTTAAACATGCCCTTGAAGGCAAAGTCTCTCTGGAGAACATGCCTCTCTCTCTCTCCCTCTTAACTCAATGACCTCTGAATGTGTCCTAAACTCATCTCGTAACCTATATAGAGATCCATATATTATGGTTGTGCTTGATTTTCATGTATTTACATGTGTTCTTGTCTTTTAGCATTGATCAGGATGCGATCGAGTTCGTGATTCGAATAAAGAATTGATATATGTTTTCCTTGCAGCTCAATTTGCTGTAGAATTTCAGTATACGGGATTCGATGTGATGCATTCTCGGAGATGGAAGCAGTAGATCTCGTCAATGTCTTGAGAAAGGCCCGGAGAGGTAATTAGTTGAATTTGAATTCAATTCGGAAATTACTCTGTTCTTAGCTTTCATTAATCTTTTGCCATTGTTGCCTAATCTTTGTAGGGGTTAAGTAGGGATTAAGGATAAGAGTAATTACTGGGGAGAAATCAAGATTCCATATTTAGAACTATCCAACTTATAGTAGTACTAGGAGATATAGATCACAGAAGCCTTGAAAGTAACCACTCTCTGATTTGGCTTTATAGTTTGTCTAATGCTAGTATTTGTTATTGAAAGTTGAAGTAATGTAGAGGTTGTGTTGTAGTATGGTTACAAGGATAGCATTAGGATCTAAGTTCATTTTCTTCATGATGATCTCATAGTGATATATGTTTGCATGCTCTCACCCGGGGTTTCACCATTCAGTAGCCGGGTGAGTTTTGATTGCCAAGTTTGAATGAGACCAAGGGTTATTTGGGTTGTGTTTTTCCTGCTCTTTTCCATCTCAGCTTGGATTTTCGTTCTCATCAGTTTCCCTCTCTAATTTTTCAATGATTATTTTGTGCTTGCAGGACCCTATTTGGTTCGGTGCATGGTGATTCCAATTCCATAGCCAACCAGGTTTAAACAAGCCATAGATGTCGTTTTGTTAGAGAGGTATAGCTACCCAGGTTTAATCAAGTACCTTTAGAACAAAATATCATCTAAGATTGGTTTTCTTAGAGAGGTATAACTACCCTTTAACTCACTTAAATCAAAATTAGAAGCCACTTCTACTTCTGTCATTATGGCCTCTCTGTTGCTAACTAATTGCCATTATGGCCTCTTTGCCACTTCTAGTTCTGCCATTACATAAACTGTGAGCATGTGTGAAAGAACTTTATGTGGTCTTTTGCACTCTCACTAGTTTATTTTCTCTTATAGGTTGCAGATATCCAGGCTAAAACTGATGTTGCATCAAAGCTCTTGTTTTATACTATGAGCTAGCTGTTTTTTCTTTGCATAATGCACGGTGACTCCAATTTCACAGCCAACCAGGTTTAAACAAGCCATTCACGACTCTTAGTCCTTCTTTCAGGCACTCCTTTACATATTCCCATAGCATGGAATTGACTGTTTTTCCGCTCTACATGTCTTAATATTCAGAGCATGGCAACCATGTTTTTTGCAATTACCAACTACAAGAACTTGATTGTGAGAGCCGAAGAGGGAATAATAAGAAGGAAGCTTAATTTGGGTAAACTTAGCAAAGAAGTTCCTTCAACTTAGCAAAGAAGTACCCATATTTGCTTTGTTATTTGTTTCGGTTAAATAAGTGACCAGCCATACTGGGTGTGAGATGAGGTAGGAGGGATGGAGATGAAGAGTTGCAAGCTATGAACTTGGATTTTGCCCCGCAGCCAGGTACATCTTCCCTATTCTTCACGTATGCAATGAAGAGTGATTTAATGACTAGCTCATCTCTTTTCCCTTCAACATCAAGCTTTTCGTTGCTCTTCCTATTGGTTTGCTTTCTATATATTTCAATACCAAGCTTCTATGTTGCTCTTCCTATTGGTATTTGTGTTTAGCAAGTGTGTTAGTTGGTATTTCTAGTGTCAGATTGCCTTAGTTCCAGCTTCTGCTGTGGTTTTGCATTTGAATTTTATTTTTGATGTCTTCACAGGGGTAGTGATGGAGACATCATTTATTGAACTGCATGAAGTCAAGGTAATAATCTAGTATATTATTCTTTATCTCAGTCTTGCTTGCTTCATTTTAGTCTAAAAGAGAAATGAATATAATAGAATAAGGTGCTTATGTGTTTCATTCATAGTGCTACTGTTGTTATAATTTTATCAAGCCAAAGTATTGCACAGGGCTGACCAAAAGTTACTCGTAACATACACAACTACCTCTCTATGAGTTAATTAATTTGAGTTCAGATAAGAGGATTTTGATTAGATCTGCAGTGGTATAGAGGATGTTTGAGGGATTTATTACATGTAAGTATATTTTTATATCTACTGAAGTTTCTTGGTTGAATTTACTGTACCTTCATTGTTGTATATGAATACTAACTAATGTTGTGCTTGAGGGCACCTCTACCATGAAATATTAGCTTAAGCTTGTCGGTAGAGTTGCTATAGTGTTGCTGCATATTAACTATCACCAGTTAGTCAACTCCTGCTTCTAGGCTCATATTGATTGCTCTCAATTTTCATGAGTCCAGCCAGCCAAGCCATATTGTGTATTTAGTTTGGTTGGTATTAGGTTTCTGCAAATGTGGTAGTTGGTTGTATACCAGTAAGAAGGGAAGTATAATTGGTGTAGGTGTGGTTGAAAGTAACTTGTTAAAAGACTACCTAGTATTTCTTTGCTTTGTGTTTCACTTCTTGTTCTATGTTTCGGGAATGGTTTTTTGTTTCATTGAATTTTTTTCTTGCTCTGTCTTCATTTCTCTTCTTCATATTATTAATGGTGAATTCTATGTGTTTGGTTGGTGTTGTAACAGGTTAAGATGGATTTCAGAAGAAACCAATGGACAACATGATATGTGGGTGATTAAAAAAAAAAAAAGTAACGTTCGATGTTGACATTATCTTTAGATTTGAGTTTCTATTTGTTCGATTCCTTTTTTTTAAAATAATTTGTTGTATGAATAATTTGTATTGTGAGTGAAGTACTGAAGTTACCAAGTTGGGGCATGGGTAATGGGTGATGTAGACTTTTAAAAGTATAGAAATGTATGATAATTGAGAATTGAAATGCTACAGCAGAAAAGCAGGGGTTCCAGAAAATGAAAGTCCACTCAACGCTTTATTAGAACCGTCGCTCAAATCTTCTTTAAATCTAGCTAGCCAGGGGTTTGGAAGCGATGTGAATTGTCCGATCAAATTTGCCAGTAGCAGGGGTTATGAATACGCCGCTAAAATACATGCCACCGCTGCAAAATATATATGTTTCAACGGAACCCAAAAGGCCAATCCCGTCGATAAGAACCGCTACAGAAACCGTTGCAAAAACATCCACCAGGGGTTGGGCGGACCCCTGGCATAAACTTGCGGCGGTCAGTCTAGCGGCGGTTATGCTGCGGTTTCGGCAACCCCTGGCGGGCTTTGTACCGGCGGTTTTTGCTGCTGCTAAAAGCCAAAAAGCCCCCTGCTGTAAGCCTTTTATTTTGTAGTGCATGGAAATCTATCATACCTAGGGGAAATATAATACGTATACTTGCCTATTTCTTATTTAGAAATGTTTTGGTTATGAATGTCCATTTTCGTTTATATGGGTATGAGTATGGGGATGGGGAAAGCTAAAACCATACCCGCTGCATATCCCGCCAATGCGGAGATTCTCCAAGTCGACCCGCTTTCGACCGGTCGAATACCCACAATCATGTGTTTGATTGCCATCCTAATTATGATATAAAAAATATAACTTGTATTCAATTATATCAAGTACAGGCAATTCTGTATTTTAGAGTATATGAGTAAAATACCAATATAAAACTTTCAACCTTAGTTACAAAATACATGTAAGAATATATTTATCGAGATATGATATACTCTAAAATTTTCAAGTTATTAAAAATGATTTATTCTTTGACATGATATCAACTCTTTGAACAAAACAGCTTGTGATCATCTTGTAACGTACTTTTTAAGTTTTTTAATATTTTCATTGTATGTGCAATCTGCTTTCCTATATATAGTTTTTAATAAGGGTGTAAATTTTTTGTTTTTAATGTTAGGTGTTATTGAACAAATTCGAACTTAGCACCTCCAATCTAAGACCAATGATTTAATTGCTAGACTAAACCTCTTTTTATGGAAACCTGGTAACCTTTATTAACGATACAGAATCCAACCTTAACTTATCAACGAGGAAAATAGGAGGTCTGTCTTTCCCAACTACTGGCGAATCCCAATTCATTTCGTTGTATGCTAATATGTGTTGTTGTATTCACTTGTCTTCTCACATGACGCCACATTCCAGCCTCTGGTTCATCTAGCAATTATCTTATACTCAGACAAATAATACCCAATTCGTTATGAATACCTTCTGCCTCTTTGACAAATAATACCCAATTCGTTATGCAATATACCTTGTGGACCAAACCCATATAGGCTCCTATGAGTACGACTCATTTAGTGCAGGTATGTAGAGGTGACAATTCTCAATACAATCCACCAATTCAATCTACCAATCCATTAAAAATATTCACCTAATTCAATTCATTTAAATTCAATCCATTTGATCCAAATCCAATTGGATTGGTGATCCAAATGACAAATTATGGTTTGGTACCTATACTTTTTATATTTTACAATTTGGTACCTAAAATTTATTTTTTTATACGAAAAATTATCATTGGAAAATTACATTTTGACACCTAAATTTTTTCATTATGATATTTTAGTACCTAAACTTTTCACATGTTTACATATTGGTCCAAAGTTGAGGATATCATTTGGATTCATAGATAATCCACCAATCCACTTGATCCAATCTATGAATTCACCAATCCATTGAATACAATCCATTTAATCCATAGATCCACCAATTCAATCCATCAATTCATGAATCTGATCCATTTGCCACCTTTAGAGGTATGTGTATTTATTTATATATGCTTACCCCTAGCAAAAAGGATTCAATATCTTGAGTAGAAACGACAAGACCGAGCGTTAGGATTGCTTATCCAAGCAAAGCGTGTGGGTAACATGGCATTCCTGCATTGCGTGCAATCATTGCCATAAACAAATGCCCACAACCAATAAACCCTAACTTCCATGCACTATCCTAAATGCTATAGCTGAGGCATGCATGGCTCAACCAAATCACTTGCAAACAACTTTTCCCTTCAGTCCCATCACCCTTTTCCCTATATAAATACCCCCATCGGTTCCTCCCTAGCTCACACACCAATCCCACTTCTCCTTAGAACCAATTTATCCCTCTTCGTCTTCTTAACAAGTTAAGAGAAATGGCTTCTTCCAAGGCAGCCCTTGCACTCTTCCTCGCCCTCAACCTCCTCCTCTTCGCATCCTCGCCGGCCACCGCAACCGTGGGGGCGTGCGATCCGGCCAACCTGAACGTCTGTGTCGACCTGCTGGAGTCGTTGCTTAAGATCCGGCTCGGACCCCAGCCGGCGAGCCAGCCGTGCTGCAGCCTCATCAATGGGCTGGCTGACCTCGACGCCGCGCTTTGCGTCTGTGCTGCCCTTAAGGTTCCCAACATCCTTGGGCTCGGAGGGCTCGTTAACGGGCTCAACATTAACCTTGCTCTCTCCGTGCTGCTCAACCAATGCGGCCACCAGGTTCCCGCCGGCTTCATCTGCGCTTACTGAGTGATCGGAGAAACTCGATGAAGTCACGTCCTTATTTATAGTACCTATACGGCCTCGTTAGTGGCCTTTGTAGTAGTTGATTTCTAGCTCTCAATACGTACTTTCCGATTTTACGTGCTGCTTTCATGGCGTCGCAATTAAGTAAGTAGTGAAACGCTGTTGGTTTCATGAAGGTTGGATGGATGCCATGTATAAGATCAAATAATGATTGTTGTTTGAATAAATTGACTTCATCGTTCATTCTGCTTGGCTATTTAATAATAACTAGCTCTTACCCGACCCGTTGGTCGGATGAATTTTATTTTATATTTTATAATTTTATGTTAATCAATGGATTCATATTTTCATTAAGAATTATTGTTGACTCTGAAACTAATAGTTGCAGCCCACCAAGAAAACTCTTCAAGGGACATTTTTTTATGGAGGGCAAGGTTAATTCAAGTACAATGAAAATCAACAGAAACATACGTTTTCAAGAACTTAAATACCTTATGAAATTAGTAACTAAATTTTTAAACAATAATACTTATAGAAGGGGATGACTTCCTTTGAGTCCTTTGATGTTGCGTAGATATCGACTATAAAGAATATGTCATGGCCCAAAAAGTTAACAACTTTAAAGAACACAACAGCTACCCACCTCTGGTTCCTATTATCCCCTAATTATGTTTCAGTTGAGTGAAAATGTCTTTGTCTCTATATTTATCTTTTCGCGCTATAGTGACTTGTTTAACTCGTACCTGGGCCGATGTTGTGGTTTCTGAACTTGATTTAATAAGTATAGCATATATCTAATGCAGTAATGCAGCAACCATCTGAGTGGTGAATCTCAAAGATCCCGACAAATGCTGCTTCTTATTGTTTACTGTTTGATATATTGATGCTGCCCTATTCGATATTCATGTAGTTTTTCAATAAGTATTAAAGGTTCTAATGAATGTAGGTAATTTGAGAAGGAAATAACCCAACCGCTAACCGGGTTGGATGCAAAGAGTTAAGAGACAAACAATCAAACAGTAATTTGCTTGGTCATGTGATTAAGTAAAAAAGAAAGAAAATAGGAGATTAGAGGAAATAAGAAGCGAACTAAAACTAAAAGCTAACTCGAACAAAATCACACCCGACTCGTTCATTCCCATTCTGACCACACACTTCGAACCCAAATCCCGAACCCACACTTCGAACCCAAACTTCGCATGCTCTTCTTTCCCTCCACCTCCCAATAAACCAACAAAATCACAACAAAATATCCATGTATCTATGTTTTCCCAAGACTACTTTGACAATGTTGTTAAATAAGTTCGTACCCCATAAAGCAACAAATACTCAATACTTTTACATGAAGTAGCTTTGACTTTGAGCCATAGAAAGAAAATCAACGTGACTCACTGCAAGTTGGCCAAATGAAGCATCGTACATCCTTTCGAAATCAACAATCAAATGGCACACATATAACAGATGTAAATGAAATGAAAAACTCCCTTTTAAAGCACTAAAATCAAATTGAAAGTACCCCGAATTGGTGGTTACATTTGTAGCCTGCTAGATAATCCCTTAACTTTGCCTCCATATCGATTTTGGGATGTCTCAACTCCATCTCTTGAACTCCTTCAAGATTCCATTTCTTCTTTGTTGCAGCTGGATTCTACAGAAGTCATAGTGAATTCACTCTGTAAAGCTCCTTCCTGAAGCATAGCTGGTCGGTGTTTTCCCACTTCATGATCAACAAAGCAAAGAAAATTTGTCATAGAATATGACTGTCTGTTCGAGAAAAGGAACCCAGTTAAATGGCAGAAGAACTGAACTCAGCACGACATAAACTCTAATTGACTATGAGTGAAAGGAAGTCTAGCAAGGCATTTTCTTACATGAGGTGAGTGTCACCCCGGAGGACCCCAAGAAGAAAATGGTGTCCTGATACTAATCTAGACTGTCTTTCTAAGGTACCTGTTGGAGGCATCAAGGTCTCAAAAGCATCAGTTCATTGCACCTTTCAGAACTATATAATGTGACCAGTTCCAGCTTCCATGATCTCACATTTGTATTGTTCAGTTCCTCCTTTGCTCACCACCTATAGGAACCAATCAAAAGGCTCAGGATTCATGGTACATTTTTTGTCAAATTAAGAGATGATGAAAACATGACAACCTTCTATGAGGAAGTAAACCATTCAACAAAGAGTACACAATTATACTTCGTGCGGAAAAAAGTTGTTTTCAACATGAAGGGGCAGGAATCAACTGAAGAAAATAAAATAGACTAACAATGAAAGGCTACATCAATCCTTAGAAGGTCTGCACAAATGGGCACTGCAGAGAAGCATATCGCAATCCTAAGAAGAATCAATACCGGGAACTAACATATAAACCTCTCTAGATCACAATACCGGAAGGTAGTAGCTATTGAATTAAATTACAGCAACTTATGACAGTACCACAAGCTTAACATGATTCACCATTACTTTAAGCTCTCTAACTGCATTTATAGGGAAAAGACCCTTCAAACAATACTACTTATGAAGTGGTGAAACTGGTTGCTATTCTTTTTTGTGGTTTACTTCATGTTGGTTAGTAGTTCCACTACTTTTTTCCTTGTCGATACTATTTGCAACCTAATTAATGTTCTTTGCATCAGTAGATGGTGCCTATTGCACTTGGCAACCAACGAAATGCAACGGTTTGTATAGATGGTGTCCTTAGATGAACAAATGCCTCTAGGATGAAAATGCATCATCTATAAAGAGGTTTGGTGTCCTGAGATGAGATGAATTACAGAATGCTATGGGTTATTGAAGTTACTAAGCCATATCATCTTCCAACATAGCTCTAATTGCAAAAATTTCCTGATCATAATGCTCTGTGAATCCAAAACACACATCAATCCCATCATTGTAGAAACATAATCTCTACCACTCTAAGTAAATAACAGTTTTATTTCTATACAGTTATAGAATGCTATGAAATAGATAATCCACAAACTGAATGCAAAATACCAAATGAATCGGGATACAAATAGTAAGGCTCATTACTGAAACTATGACAACTTTACCCACCCAACAGAACCTTAGTTTCGATTTTAGTAAATGCTATGCGTTATTGATCACTAAAAGGGATCTTTTCAATTAATCATACACCAATGGACATGATTCAAGTTGGTTAAAATCATCAGAACAACACATATATAAAAAGGGCCAGAACAGTTCAGAACCAAGCATGCAAAAGGATAACTTATCTACACCCTTGAACAAAATTTCAACATCAAGATTTATGGGTTGAATTAAAGCATACACCACCATTTTTTAGCAAGAGATACATCACAGGAGACAGAGCTTGGGTAAAAAATTGTGAGATCCATCTAAGAACATAGCAAATTAAATTAAAAGGCAAAAAAAAAAAACTCTCAACTAAATTCTTCAAGCTCTGAGTTGATTCACTTCCTACCATGTCATCAATTAAAGGTAGATAGGAAAGCAGGGTGGAGAGCTTTACCTGCTCCTGGGTTAGGGGATGCTCTTCCCAACCCATCACCGCAACACGTTTCTCAACCCATCTATAATATCCACAAGGCTTCCATCAGAAGCATCTGAGCAAAAACCGTATGAAAATGAGCAACTAAAAACAAAACTGTGAGAGTCATAGGTGGCAAACGTATGAATCATGCATGTTTTACTAAACCGGAAAACTGGTGAAGAGAAACTCTTTTCAACTAAAATCGACAACAAAAAATGAAGCTGAAAGTTACGACTGGCTCCTTCCTCGTTCTCCTTCACCATGGGTGTCACCAAAGACAGGCTGAAACCCAAAAGAAAAAAATAAAGAAAGGGTCGGGAATTTCCAAGCAATCGCCACAAAAATTCACCATGATGGAGTCGTTGTACCACCAAGCCACAGATGTTGCTCCCACAAAGTATTGAAATGCAAAAAAGGGAAAAGAGGTTCTACCCAATCCCACGATTTCCCCCCCTTTCTCAGTTATGGCATCGATGCCGCGTAACCCAAACACCTGTAACGTTGATTTTGCTATCTTCGACGAATGATGGTGGCGATGATCTGAAGCAGATCCGATACTCATGTAGGGAAGAACGTCGACGAACCCAAACCCCGCTCAGGCTCCCCTATTTCCCTCTCTCGATTGGCACTGCCTCTGTTAAAGAAGAAGATGGTAGTCACCCTTGGCCGCCTCTATCAATTCTTCGATTCAACGGAGAAGAGAAGAAGACCAGTCGTCCGCGCCTAGAAGGCCTTTCCATTCTCTCTGCTTCTTCTTTTTTCGATCCAGAGCAAGAGATAGGGAGAGAGACATGAAAGTGATCAGAAACCCTGAATACTGAGAATCAAAAGCAAAAAAGAGATCAGAAACCGGCTTCGCATCCATACCCGATCAAGATCAGCAGCTCATTTTCCTTCCTGCTCCATCGCCCTCTGTTGCAGCGCCACCTCAACCGCCGCCGCCGCCGCCACCTCCAAGAGCCGAATCCAACCCTTCCCCCATTCAACGCAGAAAGCAAAACCGAAAACCATCGCCACCAGCCACCACCCTCTCCCTATCGGACGGATGCCTTGCCTTCGTGCCTTAGCTAGAACTCCGTCGAGGCGACCTCCCGCAAACGCCTTGTTCTTCTGTCTCCGGCTGAAACCTCGCTGCTGATGTACGGGTTTGGATACCCCTCCTCACGTTCTTCCCCTCCTTCTCGTTCCTCTTCTTTCATGTCTTCCCTCGTTTTATGTCAATGAGAGAGAGGAGAGATGTTAATCGGTGACCCATCTTGGCCAAGCGTCAATCAATCGAAAGAGAAGAAATCGAGCTTCTCTAGACGACGTTAAGGGGTTGGAATGAAGAAATCGAGACAACGTCATCGAGGAGTGTAGCCTGGAATCTGCAGAGAAACTCAATTGTTAAAGGAGAGTGTAGAAAACGACCGTCGATTTGCTTTCCCCTCTCCTCTTAAGCGAACACTCAAAATTTCCGGCACTTTTCGTTTTCTTGAACGATCGATGCCT